GATATAGGAACTGCAAACAATGTTACATGAGGACTGTAGAAATGCTGTACAAATGAGCTTTTCCTGAGGAATCTATTGACTATTGTAGAACATAGTTTCAGAAAACCGAACTGACTGTAGATACTCCTTCCTAATAAAAATTTCTAATCATTAGTATGTGGTTAGTTAAGACTTAAGAAGGGTGTCAAGAGAGAATGTGATGTGTAGTGACTGTACTGACAGTGATTATACCATATAACTTATCAGAAACTAGAAGCAGATGGGGAGGGGGGGTGTGCAAAGTAGGGTATCTTCACTAGTTAACTCAAATACTAAAACTCTGATATTGAGGGATGGGGAAAGATTAGAGCAAAAAAAAGTTATCACCTAATATTAATATTCCTTATAGTGGGAATAAATGGATGTTGGGCCCCAACGTGGAGGTTATTATGTACAAGGATATAATATAAATTATTAGTATAAATAACCATGAGAACAACACTGCTCATTTCTGAAAATATAGTCTTTAAGTTACAATTGATTTAGGATTGTTTGCCTTTATGTTGGCACAGAAGTAACTTTCCTCTAAATATTTTGAATTGGGATTCTTTCCCAGGCTAATATAGGTGACCCAATCCTCCCTGCCCTGATTGGCAGAACAGTGAGCCACAGCTCTTAATCAGCTATGAGATCTCTGGAGGAAACAATCAAAACTGCAGAGAACTGGTTGCTAAACTAGTAAGCTCTATAGGTTAGGTCTATTCTGTGTGTGTTTGATTTATAATGTTTTCACCTTAACGTTGGTTTGGGGGGATGTAACCCTCATCATAAGCTTCTCTATTTTTTAGAAAGTACGATTAAAAAGAGAGCAAATAGACCATATTATCACCTAGAGATTATACGTACTAAATATATGTATACAGGTTTAGATCCTTATACGTAAAACAGTTGTTGGACACAATTTTTAATTACCTGAACAAGAAGAAAATGATGGAGGAAATAGGGTGTGAATAGGTATAGAAGTTAGACACCTTTCAGCATATTTTGTCTTATAGATGTAGTTTTGGAGCAATGTAAGTATTTTATATAATTTAAAGTAAAATTTAAGAAACAGTCGCTAAAGATCAAGTCAAATGTATAAAGAAAATACATTTCTGGTTGGTAATATTGTGACTCAGAAATTATTACAAGTGACATTAAAATACAATTATTTTACTATATACTTTTAATATACCTTCAAAAGGTAATAAAATTTTGTAAAAATACTTTATAAACTATTTTCAGTAATCATTGTGTTAATGTTGATATTGATATTTTTAGTTAGTCAGCAATAAATTAAATGAGAAATTGCAATAGTATTTGAAAACTGTAAAGAAACAGAATAGAGACAGTAATTTGTGTGTATGTGTGTGTGTGCTGGTCATGGGGCCTGAACTCTGGGCCTGGGCGCTGTCCCTCAGCTTTTCAGCTTGAGGCTAGTGCTCTACCACTTGAGTCACAGTGTCACTTCCATCTTTTTCTGCTTAAGTGGTGCTGAGGAATTGAACCCAGGGCCTCATATATGCAAGGCAAGCACTCTACCACTGAGCCACCTTCCCAGCCTAGAGACAGTAATTTAAAATTCTATAGTCCTAAATTTAAGTTTGACTGTCAATGTTTAGTTGTATATCATGTTCTTTGGGGTAATTTTTTAGACAGCGTCTCCTAATGTAGCCCAGTCTGGCCTCAAACACATATGTCTCTTGCCTCTGCCTTCCAAGTATTGGGATTACCACATCCATCTTATTGTACACTCTGAATTCTATCTCTTAATACAAGTGGTGGATCAAAAGCAGAGTACAGGATGATGTGGAACATCAGGTCATACCAGAAAGCAAAGACTTAACAATATTGGAGTTCTGTCTGAGAAGTCTCAGAATTGGCTTCCAGGACCAGTTTGAACAGGCTCCCACCAGCCAGAGCTAGGACAGTGTGAGGAGTAGTGTGATGAATTCGAGAGAGTCAAGTATGTTTAATGCTAGGAGCTGTGAAGATGTACACAAACAAAAACTCTTTCCCATCACCCTTAGGACCACTAGGGAAATAATTCAGGAAAAAATCAGGTGTCATCTTTCATCTTCCATATGTGAGCATTTCTCAGAGTAATCATATAGTTGTTGAGGGTCAGTTTCTCTTACCGAAGTATTCCTTCTAATAAATAAAGATAAAATGCTACCAACATTCTGTTGAGAGTTCATAACCCACCTCTGACCTTTACATGCAAACAGAAATGAAACTAAATCCTGAATCTTTAGTTCTGATGATGTACAGGAGATGGAAGAGACAAAAGAGTATGCTAAATTAAAACAGTTTATGGCTCATTGCAGAACAAATAAATGGCATTTCAACAAATTGCTAGGAAAGAACATGATAGAAAAATATGTAGATTAAGAATTATGAAGCATCTTAACCATTGTATCTTAACCAGATGCAATATATGAATTTTAATTAGTAAGAATAAAAACATTTGTAGGACATTTGAGGGAATATAAACACTGCTGAGCTCCAGTGGCTCACACCTGTAATCCTAGCTACTCAGGAGGCTGAGGTCTGAGGATATAGGTTTGAAGCCAACCTGGAAGGAAAGTCCATGAGGCTCTCATCTATTAATCACAGAAAAAGCCAGAAGTAAAGCTATGGCTCAAGTGGTAGAGTGCTAGCTTTGAGCAAAAGGAGCTTAGGGACAGGCCCAGGCCCAGAGTTCAAGTTCCTGGACTGGCCAAAAAAAAAAAAAAAAAAATCATGATTTGTGTATTTGTGTGTGTGTGGGGGGGGGAGAGAGAGAGAGAGAGAGCCTTATTGTATCTTTTTTTTTCCTCCTAGGAGGAAGACATATGTTGACATAATTACAGTAAAATGATATAGTATCTGGGATTTGCATCAGATTCTCTAGGGGAGATGAGCATAGTGTTATAGAAGGAGCAAAATCAGTCATGAGCTAAGAATAGTTGAAGATTACTGACAAGGCCTTGAGGCCCTTCATGTTATTCTCTGAACTTTTGTTAAATTCTAAATTTGTCATTATAAAAATTGTATAAGAAGCTAGCCACAGCCGTTTCATAAGAATGACTTAAAAAAACAAGGCAAAAATCCAAGATTGCAATAGACTTATTTTCAAATTTACTGTCACAATATAAAATGCTTTATATTAGTTTTATGTTTGTAGGAAAATTTCAGAGATAGTACAGAGTACCCATAAACTTTTAACCCATTTTTCCCATTATTAATGTCCTGTATTATCATGACACATTTGTCAAAACTAAAGAATTAATGTTGGTATGTTACTATTAATGAGATACCAGATTTTATTTAAGTTTCACCAATTTTTCTATTGTAGTCTTCTTTCTATTGTAGCATCTACTCAGGGTACCACTTTGCATTTAATTGTCATGCTCCCTGGTCTCTTTGGTCTACGTTGATTTCACAGTCTTTCCTTGCTTTTCTTGACCTTGACGGTCTTGTACTCAGCAGATAACAGGATGCCTCCAATTTGCATTTGATGTTTTTCTTAGGATTAGATCAAGTTTATGGATTTTCATAAATACCACAGAGATTAAAGACACATCTCTCCATATCTCATTTGGAGACTCATGTTATCAACAAAGTGTCACCTAACTCTGTGAGCCGTCAACTGTACAATTGAGATAACATTTGCCAGATTTTTTCCACTATAAATTGAGGATTTCTCTCCCTTTTCTTGTTATAGTCTTTGAAGATAGTCACCAATTTTTGGGTCCGTTCATAGGGCCTGAACTCTGGGCCTGGGCACTGTCCCTCAGCTCTTCAGCTCAAGGCTAGCGTTCTACCACTTGAGCCACAGCGACACTTCCGGTTTTTTTCATTTTTGCTTATGTGGTGCTGAGGAATTGAGCCCAGGGCCTCAGGCATGCAAGGCAAGCGCTCTACCACTGAGCCACCTTCCCATCCCGATAGTCACAAATTCTTGATCACATTCAAGTTTGTGGACACTGGAGGGTGCTTAAGCCTTACTTTTGGGGGAGGGGGCTGTGACAGAGTCTCCCCAACCACCCCCAGTTTCAGTGACTCACTAGAATACACAAGACACATCATATGGACATATTCATGGCTAAGTTTTATCCTGGAAGAAGGATTCAGAGCAAAATGAGCAAAGGAAGAGAGGTACATGGAAGAAGTTTGGAGCAAACCAAGTGGGATCTTCCAAGAGGCTCTTCCCAGTAGAATCCCAGAGGAAGTGCACCATACCCCCAGAAACTGATTGTGGTAGACCATATAAAGTGCAATCTACCTGGAAGCCTGAAGCCTGCCCAAGCTTAGGAAGCCAGTGTTTGTATAGGGCTAATAATGTAGGCATTGTCTACATGTACCAGGATTCCATGCTCCCAGAGGAAAGAGATGTTCAGCACTAACCACATTCTTTGTACAAACAGCCTAGGCATAGTGAGCCCCTTATAATTTGTGGAAAGTTCTGTACCAGTGTAGAGAATTGTTTACTGCTCAAGTTTCCAGTCTCCTCTAGGGCCAGCCCTGAACTTTCTAAGCATAGGCTTTCACTGTTCAGTTTTTTTCTGTGTGGAAAGTATCTATAATCTATTTACTTTTGTCATCTACTCTTATTTTGAGAGAAAAGGAATAAAAAATGTAATACATACTAATAGAAGCAAATGGAGTTTGAAATCAGATAAAGTATCTGATTTAATGAAAGGTTGTCTTTTGGCAAAATAGGTAAAAATTTAAGCCTCTGTTCTTTTAATGTTTTATTGCCCATTATAAAACATTGCTGTGAAAATATTAGTCATATTGCAACTCTTGGGAGCATTTCATAATAAAAATAAAAAAAACGCCTCTAGGTTGCAACCTCATTGATTGCCAAATAAGTAGAAGAAAGCTGTGAAAATTTCAGTAATAATAGTAACATAACCAAGATTTGGGTGGGAACCTCAGAAAGTGGTTACTAAGACTGAAGACACAATATGTACTAGTCATTTGCTTTGTTTTAATAGGAAAAACGTAATCTGCGAGAATTGCGGGTTCTTGAAAACCTAAAGAACATGATCCATGAAACAAAAGAACATACTCTTCCCAAATGCAGAGAGACAATGAAGGACAACTTGGAGGAAGTTCTCCAGAGATGTAAGCCAGTGACTTCTTTGATTTTGATTTTAACTTGAAATGAATGCTATACCAGAAACATTTTTTGACTGTTACAGTGGGAAATAGAGAAAATTCCAAATGGGACTATATGGGAGGGAAGCCCAGTCACAGAAAGTGCTTGTCTGCTGGTGGTTTATGTTGCCAATGATGGTAAGAACATTAATCTTCAAAACAAGATATGTGTATCCACAGTTCACAAGACAGTCCTTAGGATGTGAGAAAATGAAACTCTTTACCTTGAAGAAGTTAATCTATAAGAAAGTGTTTGATGAGCAGGAATTAGGACATAAATGAAGCTTCTTTTTTCAAATAAGCTATTAAAGGTCTTAGCTTTTTCCAAAACATAATCTTTTCATAATTAATTATTGCTTTACACCATTAAGCAAAATGTTTTCATGCAAAGAGATAACTGATGAAAAGAATGTTAGTCTTATTTAATATCAAAACATCACAGAGTAAAGAAGCTTTATTTCTGATTTCAAAATTAGAAGTTATCAGAAATTCATGTTATATTGAGTACTCAGTTTGTGCACTGGCAAATAATGATGGATTACTGAAGTGCAGAATGCAGGAGGATGTCAAGAGTGACCTATAGTAGACTGACTAGCAGGAAGGTAGCAGAGGGACATTTGTTAGTGATGATAGTCCTTAAGTTTGTGTGTTAGTCCAGCTTAATGGTCTTTTGTACTCTAATGCTAATAGAGGCTGGAAAAGCTCCAGCTCATATTTGGTTTCTTTGAGTGGAACAGCAAAATATCTAAAATTGACTTGAAGCTTTTGCATTTTATTACAAACATACTCTTTTCTCTAATTCTTCCATATCCTTAACCCTTACAAGCATTTTGGATCCTAAACTAAAAGGAAAACTCTCATCTTTATTCATCAGAATGTTTATGTGTGAAACAAGATGTGCCTGTAACGTCTTTTCCACACGTTAGGTATATAAAAGTAAACAGTGTGGGTCCCTTGTCATGGGATGCCTGGCACTGCCTCAGGGCTTGACCCTCAACAAGGCTATGCAGATGTGTCTCTCAACCTTGGAACAGAGCCATGAACAAAATAAATCTCTTTTCCTTATAATTTATCTGTTGGCTGCAAGATGGGATGTAAGGTTTTTGTTTTAATCTAGGAAAGATCTTCTTATATGGGTTATAAGTGAATGCTGTGTCTCTCAATTGGACAACAGGACTTCTAAGAATTTGAAGGATTTTGATGTATCATGTACTGTTGTCATTTTATCACTAACTGTTTGCAGTTGTACCAAATAACACCAAGCCTTGGGGATCTCATGCATATATGATAACATTGAAAGGTCTAGATATTAAATAGTCTGAATTCACATCCTCTTGAATGGTGGAGTGTATTTGTAAAGCTGTGTCCAGTTGTACAAATAGTAAACGTATTATGAGAAGCAATCAGAAGTCTAGGGGTACTTTGTAGCAGTGCTGTTGGAGAAGGGGCTTAGGTAAGAGGACCCTACGAAGTGACCAAAGAGAACTTGGAATTCAGGTATCCAGGCAGCCACATTCTAGAGCTTGCCCAAACTGGCAAACTTGTCCTGTGATAGCAAAAAAAATGGCATATTTTCTTCCTGCTTTCTGGTTTTTTTTTACTAGTTCAGACTCCAGAAGATCCTGCAGAGAATGCCTCTAGACACTGGATCCACCCTGGACCCAGACCTTAACCCCAAACCATACCCAGAAGAAGTTTCTAACCCTTTACATATAGAGATTGGCAGTGACACCTGGCAGCTCAGATGAAGACAGCAGGGATCCAGGCACTGCTCAGACTCCTCCAAGCCAATCCTAGGTACCAACAGTGGTGGGTGCCCAGTCGGCTGTGCCCATTCCACTGAAAAGAAAACTGTGTTAGGCTGCAGCAGCAGCTGAAAAATCAGCATGTGCTCCAACTGCCATGGATGTCAAGATGTCCACTTTATCTCAGATAGATAGAAGCTCCAGCTGGGCCTGCTGAAGAGCCATCATTGCTGTGTACCACATGGATCAGTCCATAGCAGCTGAGACATGCTCAGCTTCACCAGAGGCATCATCCCACAACATGGGAGAGCAGTTCAGCATATTGTTGTACATATGCCCATGCATATGATAACGAATGAGCTCAGGGCACAGTCAATGATGCTTGATTTGCCTCTGTCCTCACCACTTGAGGACGAACAATTTTCACCTGCAGTGGCAGCTGAAGGGGCACAACACAGGGCAGTTGATCTGTAGCTGGAGGATTTCTTGTTCACGGCATTCAATACAGACTGTCCTGTACTTGTGTCAGAAGATGAATAGCCACAAGAAGATGATCTAGGATCTAGTTCAGGATACCTGACACAGATCTGTTCCACCAGATGCCAAAGCACTTTGGTATCAGGAGGTGTCTCTGATCACTGCTTGTGAAGAAAATCCTCTTCTACCAGTAGCCAATGTTTCAAAGGCATTCCACATTCCAGCTCATCTCAATCTTGAAGTGTTGCCCATGTCATATAGGACAAGTGGACCTCCAATCTGTGACTGTTCTTGCTGCCCTACAAATCTAGCAGGCTCTACAGACTGTCCAATATAGACCCCTCTTTACATGCAAAGGCAAATTAGCTCCAGCAGATATATCCCAGTTTGATTGCAGTTTAAGACTGGGAGCTCAATTTAGGGTGTGAAGGTAGAGACTTCGAAACTCCTGAGCTCCACTGAGCACCAGCTGAAGCTCAAGTACTTAAAGAAGTCCTTTTCCCTCCTTGGAAGTTATCTGCTGTTTTTTTTTCCTGCACGTAATTTTATGATTGATTTTAATAAGTTTACTGTTTATTCAAAAAAGTATGAAATGTATTATAAGCCTGTGAGCGGCTATTTTGACTGTTTTTATTCTCAAGATCCAGTTATATGAACATTAGCTTCTTTAAAAGCAACAAAAAGAATCACTGGATTGGGAATCTAGACTGAAAATACATTTTCTTGACTAGAACAATTAAAACACTAAATAATGAAGTTAGTAGTTTGGATTCTAACATCACTGCAATATCTGGTTCTTATTGTCATCTGTAGAAAAAAGAATGTAGGAAAAGACAATGCTGTTTGGAGTGGTTTTCCTTGTTGAATAGGAAAAGCTTCAGTACAACTCCAACATGAGGATTTTCTTGTCTGTTTTGTTGAGCATCACTGTCTGCAAAATTCAGAGTGCTTAAAAACTGACCTTGGTCAGCTAGCATTTCTAGCAAGTTATTTTTGTTTAAAACCATGTTTTAGCCACGTGTTAACTGATATGTTAACTCATTCTATTGAATGATCAGGTAGTTGTGTCAAATTATTCATGGGCTATTCATGGACTATTTTCTCATCAGAGCACATCATAAGCCTAGTGAGGAATTTTGTTTTGTGCCTATCAGTAGAACAATTACACATACACACACATACACACACATATATGTATATGCATGCTGTGCTTCTGCAGATGTGAATCTTACTCCACTGGTCCAACTTTGTGCACCACTGAACTATACCCCCCGCCAAGGAATTTTAATGTGTATATATTGGTATTGGGGAAGGGCCCTGTGTTCTTGCTTGGCTTTTTTGCTCATGACTGATACTTTATCACTTTTTAGTCACAGCCAAGCCATTTTTAACAGAAAGAAAACAAAAAAAATCACACTAAATTATTACCTAAAAGTAATCATTGCTTCGGTGAACTTCATTCTGAACATCTCTACATATATCCAAATAGAAGAATAAGCAGAATAGACTATAGAGGTAGCTGGCTGATTGGGTAGAGGGGAGATGTTATTTTATGTATCTGAAGTTTACACATAGATGTGCAGAAAGTAAGACAGTTTTAGCTGTGTGTATTACTAGAATGTGCATGTGCCTGTGTGACACAACAACTGTGGGGTGCTGAGTTCCTGGAGTAAGGTTTTGCTTAAGAGAAAACCATCTGACAGATTCTCGACTTTCTTGAAAGTCCATATAGGCCGCTGAAAGCCTAAGACAGTAGGCCATCACTTTATGGCCATTGCTGCATGCCACGCTAGCCAGATGGCCAGATCGCAGAAGAAGGCCTCTTCCTCAGGGAGTCACTCAGAAAGGAAGGGGCTTGCTTTCTGTAGTCAAGTGATTGTTTTAGATTTTAGAGAAGCAAATTTTATTAGTTTACAAATTCAGAAAGTATTATATGGCTGAGAGGTTAAAATGCAAATTACTTCACAGGGTCTGAAATTCCAAAAAAAAAATGGATATTCTGTCCAAACATAGTATATAATCCTGTGGAACAAAGTTCTAGCTGAATTCTTAAAGGTTGGAAGAATTGACTGAATAACCCAGTCCTATAGCTCTTTCTTTACATTAAGCTCAGGATGATCTGAAAATGTTGAAGCAAAATTAGGTTTTAGTTACATTTACGAAGTCAGTAAGAAAAGAAAAAACACAAGCAGGAAATGATAGAACCAGCACTTGGGAAGAATGATGTAATACTAACATGCCAGAAAGCAAGTAGAGCTAATCAACTCCTACTTTGTTTTCACTTAGAAAAAATAAAGACCAGGAACCTAATTTTCAGTCCTTAAATATTATCCTTGATACAACTAAAATTAATGATTACTGATAACCATTAACACAGCTTTTTGAAAACAAAATCCTCCTCTTCCCAGAAGCAGAGGCTTAACATTTCTGACAGAGAAATCACATTCTCTGCCCTGCTGTGGCAATCTGACCTTGTTGGGGCTGCCCTGGATTGGAGTGGAAGATAGAACTGTAAAACAATTGGTGAACCTCCAGTTTAAGCAAATGCAAGTGCATGATGGGGTACAGGTGCACACACCACTAATGAAGGAATGTCATCTTTTAGGGAAGGCTCTCCAAAGGCAGTAAACTTGAGCCGAGCTTTTGGAGGAGGGAAAGCTTTTGAAGGCACTCTCAGGCTAATACAGCGCATAGACCAATAGTAGTGTCATGCCTTAACAGCGTGTGTAAAGAATGCCTGAAAGTGGCTTTTATTTATTATCCCATTAAATTATTCCATCTTGTTCTGGAGTCCCATTAGTTTTTATGTTCATTTTAGGAATGAGGAACTGAGGTGCTGTGGGCCCAAGAGCAGCCATATGAACAGTGCCTAGGAATGACTCTGAGAGAGGACATCCCCAGAGCAGTCACCCTAGGGGGCTCAAGCTTAGGTTCACTGAGGCTGACTCTTAGGACTGCACGTCCTTACTTGGTTGGAGTGACTGAAATTAATGTGTTAAATGAAAATACTTGAGAACTAAAGAATTAAAAATATTTTTATGAGATAATAAAAGTAGGAAAATAATTGAGCCAAGTGTTTATAAAGTCAAGAAGCATCTGGTTTGAAATGCTGTTTCCTGTACTTATTTTGCCATCTTGAGTGACATACCTCTCTGGAATTCAGTTTTGTTTTTTTTTTTATTATTGTGAAAATACTGTACAGAGGAGTTACAATTACATGGGCAAGATAATGAGTACATTTCTTATCAAGCATTGTAGCCTCCTCCTTTGTTTCCCCTTCCCATCCCTTCCAATCCTCCTCCCCCCCCCCCCAAACTCCCCCCCCACGAAAGTTGTAAAGTTCGTTTTTGACATAACGACTTGTACATCTCATTATTGCAATGGGTCCACCTGTATCCCTATTTAAACGATTTGTTTTTCCCTTCCCCTTCACAAATTATACTGACATCAAATACAGTGAAAGCAGGGGTTATATTATCTTATAAATGTGTTAGAAACAATCGCATGAAAGAAAAAAGCATTTGAATACATATGTTAGGGTTCATTTCCCTAACGTCACCTTATCTGACCTTTTCTGCTTGACTCAGACATATGCTAGATATTGCAAATAAGAGAAACCATGGGACCTATGTTTCTTTGGGCCTGGCTTTCTTCACTTAATATAATTTTTTCCAAGTCTTTCCATTTCCTAACAAATGGGGCAATGTCATTCTTTCTGATGGAGGCATAGAATTCCATTTTCTTGATCCATTCATCTACTGAGGGGCATCTGGGTTGGTTCCATAACTTAGCTATGGTAAATAATGCTGCAATAAACATAGTTGTGCTGGCAGCTTTAGTATGGTCTTGTTTGTGATCATTTGGGTAAATGCCCAAAAGTGAGATTGCTGGGTCATAGAGGAGCTCTATGTGGAGTCTTTTGAGGAACCTCCATACTACTTTCCAAAGTGATTGAACACGTTTACACTCCCACCAACAATGCAGTAAGGTTCCCTTCTGTCCACATCCCCTCCAGCATCTGTTGTTCTTAGAGTTCTTGATTATAGCCATTCTGACTGGGGTGAGGTGGTATCTCAATGTTGTTTTGATTTGCATTTCTTTTATGGCTAGGGAGGTTGAACATTTCTGCATGTGTCTATTGGCCATCCTTCTTTCCTCTGCAGAGAAGTTTCTCTTTAAGTCTTTAGCCCACTTATTTATTGGGCAGTTGTTTCTTTGAGAATTTGTTGTTGGGGGATTTAATTTTTTGAGTTCCAGGTATATTTTAGATATGAGACCCTTGTCTGTTGTATGGCTAGTGAAGGTCTTCCCAATCTGTGGGCTTTCTGTTGATCTTGCTAGCTATGTCTTTTGACATGCAGAAGTTCTGCAATTTCATGCAATCCCATTTGTCCAACCTTTCTTTTATTTGTTGTGTTTCTAGGTCTCTATTAAGAAAATTTCAGCCTGTGCCAAGGAGACCTAGGGTTTCTCCTATTCCATCCTGTAATGTTTTCAGAGTGTCTGCTTTGACTCTGAGGTCTTTGATCCATTTGGAGTTGATTCTGGTACAGGGTAATATATAAGGATCTAGCTTTAGTTTTCTACAAGTGCTTAACCAATTTTTCCAGCACCATTTACTGAAGAGGCTGTCTTCCATTCAATTTTTTTTAGCTCCCTTATCGAAGATTAGATGGCTATAGGTCTGTGGGTTCATTTCTGGATTTTCAATTCTATTCCATTGGTCCTGAGGTCTGTTCTTGTGCCAGTACTAAGCAGTTTTGATGACTATGGCTTTGTAGTAGAGTTTGAAATTTGGTATTAATATTCCTCCAGCACTGTTCTTTCTGTTAAGGATCATTTTTGCTATTTGGGGTCTTTTATTGTTCCATATGAATTTTTGGATTGCCTCTTCTATTTCCTTGAAGAATGTGGTTGGAATATTGATAGGTATTGCATTGAATTTGTAGATACTCTTGGGAAGTATTGCCATTTTCATGATGTTGATCCAATCCAGGAGCATGGGAGGTTTTTCCACTTTCTAAGTTCTGTTTTGATTTCCTTTTACAGGTTTTTAAAGTTTTCATCATAGAGGTCCTTCACTTCTTTGGTTAATTCCTAGGTATTTTATTTTTTGTATGTGGGGCTATTACGAATGGAGTTGCTTTCCTGATTTCAGCCACGCTTTTGTCATTGTTGGTTTTTGAGGGTTAATTTTATACCCTGCTACTTTGCCAAAGTTTTTTTGTGTTTTTTTTTGTTTGTTTGTTTTGGTCAGGGGTTCGGTCATGGGGCCTGAACTCTGGGCCTGGGTGCTGTCCCTCAGCTCTTCAGCTCAAGGGAAGCGCTCTACCACTTGAGCCACAGCGCCACTTCTGGCTTTTTTTCTTTTTGCTTATGTGGTGCTGAGGAATGGAACCCAGGGCCTCATGCATGCAAGGCAAGTGCTCTACCACTGAACCACCTTCCCAGCCCCTTTGCCAAAGTTTTGAACCAGCTTGAGTAATTTGGGAGTGGAGTCTGTGGCATTCTTTAAATACAAGATTATGTCATCTGCAAAGAGGGAGCGTTTTACTTCTTCTTTCCCTATTTGTATCTCTTCTATGTTTTCATCTTGTCTTATTGCTGTAGCTAGGCATTCTAATACTAAATTGAAGAGAAGTGGAGAGAGTGGACATCCTTGTCTTGTTCCTGAGATAAGAGGAAATAACTTTAGTTTTTCACCATTAAGTATAATGCTGGCTGTAGGTTTGTCATATACAGCCCTTTATTGTATGGAGGAATGTTCCCTGGATTCCTAGTTTTTCCAGAGTCTTCATCATAAAGGGGTGTTGGATGTTGTCAAATGATTTTTCTGCATCTGTTGAGATATCCATGTGGTTCTTATCTTTGGTCTTGTTGATGTGATGAATTATATTAATTGATTTGCGTATATTGAACCAGCTTTGCATCCCTAAAATGAATCTTGTTTGATTGTGGTGTATGATTTTTTTGGATGACTTATACATAATTTTTAGTATGCCTGAATTTTGCCTCGTCTCATGCCCCATCACATGAAGTCTGGTGTGGAATTTTCTGCTGTATCACCATGTCAGTATTCAGAAGGTTTGGATTTAGGAGTATTTGGGATTTTGCTATTTAAACGAAGGATGCTCAACCTGTATGAGCAGTTTTGATTCTTAAAAAGTGGAAATGCCCAAATGACAATGACCCAGAGAAAGTTGAATCTTACAGCAGTAGCTAGAACAATTCAGGGGAGACAAGAGAACAGAGGCCAGGAGATGTGTAGAAAGCTGTTGAAGTGTCTTGCTGGCAAATACTACCTGTAGAGCTAGAGCAGTGTGAATGCACAAAGGGAAGGGAGGGCATGAACCCAAGAAACTTGTGAAGATATGATTAACCATATATGTTGTCTGTTTAGAGAATTGTGAGTTCTTGACAACTTGTCATTGAAGTTAGTACACAAATGTCTTATGGCCTGCAACTCAAAGCTCCAAAACAATGGCTGTTCAGTTTTCCTGAATCTGTATTGGCAAAACTTTTTCCCACTGCACCAGCCATCAAAACATCAGGGTTTTTTTTTGGGGGGGGGAGAGGTTGCAGTGTTTAGGGACTAAAAAACTCTAATTAAGTCTCCTTGAAAAGGGCTGCTGATTGAAAACTGTTGTCTGTTTTATTTCAGTGCAAGCTGCTAATCAAGCTGTGTGTAGACTCCAGCAGAGGGAGCAGGAACGGAAAAAGGTGAGGAAGGTAGTTGGTTGAGGGCAGGTAACTCCTGGCACTTACCATCATACAGCATCATTGCTTTGGATAAGAACATTTTCTAAATTTATTTCTTTTTTCTTTTCTTTTTCTTTTCTTTTTGTCAGTAGTGGGGCTTGAACTCTGGGCCTGGTCACTGTCCCTCAGCTTAAGGCTAGCGCTCTACCCCTTGAACCACAGCGCCACTTCTGGTTTCCTGGTGATTTATTAGAGATAAAAGTCTCACAGACTTTCCTGCCCCAGCTCGCTTTTAACTGTGATCCTCAGCTCTTAGTCTCCTGAGTAGCTAGGATTACAGATGTGAGCCCAGCATTCTAAATTTATTTTCTTTTACGCAGTACTTTTAAAAGATATTAAAATGGCAATTTCATCACCATCAGTATTTCTATAATTCAAGTTTCAGACCTCTTTTTTTCCTTTTCAACATTTCCATCTTTTCCCTGAAAGTGGTATTTGTCTCATAGAAAGGAGAAAAATGTAAGACCCACCAGACTGGAATATGAATCTTTCCTTTGAGCCTGAAGCATAGACTCTATTATGTATATTTCTTCTAGAAAAGGAAGCATTCATGACTGTGGATGGGTTATTTAATGAATACTCATAGGAGTATATGAATCACTTGCTGGGCAGTGCTTTGCTTATTTGAATTATATCTTAACTAAATTCAGATGTGGAAAAGTAGTGTAAGAATTTAAGTTCCAGTGATGATAATTTGATGTTTTCACTTGCTGTTTTCAAAGTGTTTTTGTTATTTATTCATTAATCTAGAGCAGAAAAGATATATCTTTTACTAATAGCAAATGTTATACTAAGTCATTTTGGAAATATTCCAAAACATTTGCTGATAAACATACACACAAAAAGGAAGTGTGTTATAGTTAATTCAGACTATCACTGTATAAATATATAATAGAGTGAACCTTTGCAGAATTTTAATTTCTATATCCTTCACTCAATTGTAGATGTTGATATAAAGTGTGAAAATTCAACAATTTGGTTATTTAAGCATTACTAAAAAGACCCTGGCCATTTAGATGGACAGATGGGAAGGCTGGAAGATTGCAGCAGGCAGGCGGGGTCAGGGATCAGGGCCCTGCTAGGCACATGGATGGAATAGCAAGGCTGACTACTCCAGGGATGCATCTGGTTTAATGTCAGCACCATTACTGTGCACAGAGAGAACTGCAAAGGAACGCACAGGGCTTGAGCAGCCCTACCAGGCCGGAAAGCGTATAATTCCTAACTTTATATTTTGGTAGGTGCCAACTGGTATGAGAACTTTAATTTGTTAACTTAAAGACAGTTCCTACATTTCCAGAGATAACAGTTTAGGAGTCCCAAACCCTAATACTAATGAAGTGTAGAATATAGGAGAAGGTTAAGGTTATGTGAGAAAGACTTGGTGCAGTCTTAGCAAGAGGAGTCACTTATTAGGAAAATTGTGGCTTTGAAACCTGAGTTGTTTGGAAACAATAGTTCAATTGCTGGAAGATAGGAAGAAAGATTCTACAAGGTAAAATATAGTTCAAGGGGTAAAAGGTGAGCAAAATCTGCATTCTGATGAAGCTGGGGTATGGATATTTTGATATTTCTGGGCATAATTGTGGAGGCTGCGGAATATTAAATTAATTTGTTACTGGGGATATCAGAAACATTTCTGACTGTGAAAAGCAGAATAATACAGGATATCTCAAAGTAAAAAGAAAAAATACATACCATACCCATAATTTGGTAATCACAGAAGAGAGAAGATTGGAATGCAAGACTGCCTGTGCCAAAGTCCTAGATCCCATCTGAAAAACTAAAAATAAAAGGAAAAGGACTAAAATGTGGCTCAAGTGGTAGAGTGCTTGCCTGGACGTGAAGCCCTGGGTTCAATTCCCCATACCACCGGAAGAAAAAAAAAGAATGTCAGGTGGAATACTGGCTGTACATACTAACATCCGGAAATCTCTTGGCTTTCAAAATACACATAAAAAGTATTCTGCATTTCTGTTGCCTACCTGGCATGATGCTGTATGATTTAGGCAGACTCAGTGAGTGGGCACTCACATGTTAACTTGTCTAAACTTCAGAAAGCAGTTAGAGTTTTGGTAAATGTAGTTATTGTCATTTTTGGGCAGAATGAACCTAAAATTATTACATTACAGTATGGATAGTTCTTCTTGTCATGTTGACTATGTTCACAATACCTCTGGTGCAATACCTCTGTCTACAGTAGGGAAGATAGCCAGCTTGGGTAAAATCACCTGGTGGTTTCTTCTGTTTCTGGTGGTTACTTGCATTTACTGGCAAACTGTACTTGTCTTTAGACAAGTCCCTGGGCTTTAAGCTCCTCCTATACAATATAAGTACCTGCTATACTCACCTCATAGATAGGTGGAGTAAACTGTCCTACACTTTATACAAAAAATCTTTGTAAATGTCAGGCAGCATTTGTTCGTTACTAGCTCACTACCTTTGTGTATGCCAGAATGCTGCTCTAGGCTGAGAGTTGGCACTTGGGAACCCTACCCAGTTTGTGACTTTTCATTTCAAAACATGCTGTCCTATGGTGTAGCAGTACATAACCTGTAGTCCCAGGACTTGGGATGCTGAGATAGAAGAATTACTTGAGCCCAGAAATTCAAGACCTTCCTAGGCAATTTATCAAGACTCTGTCTCCAAAAAAACAAAACAAGCCAGGAACCGGCAGCCCACATCTGTAATCCTAGCTACTCAGGAGGCTGAGATCTGAGGATCATGATTAGAAGCCAGCCTTTGTGAGACTCTTATCTCCAATAAACTACTGAGAAGAAGCTGGAAGTGGCACTGTGGCTCAAGTGGTAGAGTGCTAGTCTTGAGCACAAAGAGGCTCAAGGTCAGTGCCCAGGCCCTGAGTTGAAGCCCCATGACCAGCAAAAACAAAAAAACAACAAACAAAACCCTATCAAGAAGAACATTTTAGTTTGTTGTTGGCAGTATTAACTAAGGGTTGGTTGAATTCAGAACTTTGCACTTGTTAAACAGAAGCTCTACCCTCACCCCTTTGTCCAGTTTTAGTTATTTTTCAGCTAACACCTTTGATTTTTGCCTGGAGCCAGCCATCATTCTCTCACCTATAGCTCCAACATTGCTAGGAGTATGATTATGGGGCATCATGCCCAACGTATTTCTTTTACTAGGGTTGGCCTCTATCACAATCTTCTGATCTCTGTCTCCTGAGTAATTAAGGTTACAGGCATGGACCATTGCTCCTGGCTCTTTTGGTGGAATATTAAAAGTATATTGCAATATACTGAAATATTGTTTCACTGAGAATTTAATACAGTCTGTTAAACCTACACTTGTAAGAAGCTACTCTGATTTTCTTTTCCTTTTTTTTGTGTGCCAGTTCTGGAGCTTGAACTCAAGGCCTATGTACTTGCTTGGCTTTTTCACTCAAGGCTGGCACTCTACCACTCAAGCCATACCTCCATTTTGATGGTTAAAAAAATTGTAGATAAGAGCCTTACAGACTTTTCTGCCTGGGCTGGCTTTGAACCTTGATTCTTGGATCTCAGTCTCCTCAGTAGCTAGGATTACAGGTGTGAGCCACAAGTACCAGGCTTCACTTAAAAAAAATATTATTATTAAGGTGTTATACACAGGGGCTACCATTTCATATGTCAGGTAATGAGTGCATCTTTTTTTAGACAATGTCACCTCTTCCTTTACTTTCCCCCAGTTTCACCTTCCCATCCCTGCCACAAGTTACATAGGTTATTTTTTACATTGTGTATATTAAATAGCATAATGGCATTTGTTCACCCTTCTTCCCTCCTTAGGGTTTCAACTAAGGGCCTGTGGTTGCTAGCACTCTCTGATTTGAGACATGTCCTATGCCTTGGTTTTCTCTTCTTAAGCAGTTTAATAAAATTAGCCTTCTTAAAGTCATTTAAGGGAAACATTTTCACAGCCCAGCAAATAGTAGTGATTCTTAAGGTGTTTTTTTGTTTGTTTTCTCTTTTAGTGCTAATCTAATTAGCAGAAGATTTGAAGTATGGGTCTTTAAGGATTTTTTAAAAAAATTTTACTGCTAAAGCTAGCTTTTTCTGAAATTTTGATGTGACAGTGGTTTTAAGACTTCATGATAAAATTGAATTTTTCATTAGCAAATTTGTTCAAAGCAGAAATGACCTCTGTTTGCATTTTACTACCTAATGTTAATTGTTGGTTTTGGTTATCCTGCTGGCACCTTGTGTATATTTGAAAGGCTTTCAGAACAAAGAAAGATGGGAGTAGCATTGGAATAAAATAGACTATTGCCATTAATCATGAATTCTTTTATGTCAAGACAATTTGTGGAATTCTGTGGGAAGTAAATTGATAAGCATCATTCATCCAAATCACATTTCCCACAATTGATCTGAAAGTACATTCAAAAGAACAATAAATGCACATTCCCCAGTTACTTGGCATGTCTTAAGAATTACCACTAAGGCAAAGTTGTGTGTTGGGTGCTGGCAGGCAGTAAGAGTCATGAAATGAATCACTTGATTTTAAAAGTACTCCGTCAAGAGACATGCAAGCTTCAGCTTTTGAAGCACACTGGTGACAACACTGAAGTAAATGTGGAAGCTTTTATTTCATTGTGCTCACAGCTAGGATGCTCCTTTATGAGCTTCTTGTGAGAGCAGAGTGATCATGCAAAACTGTGATCTTGATAGGGTTGGAAAATAAATACTGTTGCCCTTTTTTTGGTGGGGGGTGCTAAGGACTGAACTCAAGACTTTGCACTTGATAGGCAAGCACTCTTCCACTGAACTAAATTCCTCACTCCAAGCTGCTTTTCTTTTATATTTTCTAAATTTTTAGATTGGGAGATACTAGGACTTGAACTCAGGGTTTTGCTCCCTGCCTGACATTGTAAGAGAATGTTAGAGTGCAAGGTATGGTATTAATATACACAGTCAGGAGCTCTTACATACTCATCAGTCAATTATCAGATTTCATCACAT